TCCCATTTCTCTTATGCCCTGTTCTGTATCTTCCCTTGTTTCAGTTTTTGGAAGTCCCATAATGATAATGTTCCTGTTCAACTTTTCTTGTTCCTGTTTGTTTGTTACTTTCATCAGTGCTGTTTTCAATTCCCCAATTCCTCTTTGCATTTCTCTGTTTACTTTGATTTGGCCTTCATATTCATCAAGCAATGTTTGATATTTATTTTCCATTCGTTGAAGCTTATCCATTACATCATTTAATGTGAATTCCTTCTGTTGTTGATTTCTTTGGCCCGTGTTTTGTTCCTCTATTTTTTCAGACTATTTATCTCCTTTTGGAGTGCTGATCCTAACCTCACTTTTTACAAGTTTGGCACGTCCATTTTTCGCCGTCCTGTTTCTTCAGCTCCGCAGCGTAATAATCGAACTGTGCAGTAGTGATTCCCACACACTTTGTGTTGAACCAGATGTCACATTCAGTACATGCAATTGCATAAGTATTTTTACACGTTTTGTCGCAAACACCACATGCGTTCGCCATGTTCTTCTTCTCTTTTGCTTTGCTTTGCTATACCATTCCATAAAATAGTACTTAATTCTGCATAACTCCTTGAAATTTTGGATGTTTCTACTAAGCTGTGTAAAATATCTGTCAACAACTGAACTACAGTTGTAGGTACATTGTTAGATGCATCATCTGCAAAAGTGCAATATGACTCCTGTTGGGAATGATAATGAAGTTATCGATTTTTTACTTTCGCCCTGAATCACATTCAATATACCTACATTAACAAATGTTTTATTGTTATAACGGGTTATATCCATCAGGAGTCATACTTTGCCGAGTACTTTGCACTTTTGTTGAATTTCTAATGTATTTGTCAAAAGATATATTACACTGCCTTCTAGCACAATCCAAAATCACATGCAGCTTTTATAGAATCAAGTACTATTTATACAGAGTGAGTCATAACTGTTGGGGCATATTCTAAAGGCGGATTCTTTGGCCATCAATATCTGGCGAAAGGACAGTACATGCCTTAATAAAATATTACTGTGGATAAGATACAGTGCGTTAAAAGTGATTTTTTTTCGTTTTTGCTAATAATTTCACTGTATATGAAATATATTTGAAAAAGTTTTGTGATTTGGTGACCTTCTATCTGGATATTAGAGATATCACAATAGTTGAATCAACTACTGGAAGATTGTGATTGCTTTTTCGAATACTGGCTTCATATCTCCAATCAATAAACATGAGCAATCAGACTACGTCACAATAATAGTCACAATGATTTCAATATTTTGATTACCCAAGAAAATATTCAACTCTATTAAGCAGATAAAAATCGGAGGAACACTCTGATGTTTTGATATTTATGACTTCGGTCTTTTAGGTTAGGAAGTAGGTTAGCATATTTTGAAGGTACAGTACATCGTTGCCAAATGCACGCCAATACTTGTTACGTCATCACGTATCCGCCGTTATTGGTTTTTTGAAAGGTCCACAAATTTGTATGGTTCTAAAACGCGTTTTTTGGATAATGACAGCATTTATTGTTGAAAAAAACTACTGGTACACTTTATTTCAATGTTATATTTATTTCTTATGATGAACATTTGAACTGAATTCGTGCTCTTGTGTTCTCGCCCATATTTTAAGGTTAATGTTCTATGTAGTTTCCACTAGACTTGTAACGAATTCTTAGGAATTACGTTCTAAAAACGGAGATGAGCGGTCCCTAGAAACAATTCAGTAAGTTGGTAGCATTTAACGTGTGTACCCGGCCTCAATCATTGACCATCATGCGCAGACTCGAGGATCGCATTGCAGGCAAACCACAGTCGAGTACCGCGCAAAATAGTCAGTCGATCGCCAGCCATCGAAATCATCAGTCGCGGCCCAGTGCAGTCTCACGCAACCAGTGCGCACACTCCCCGGCGAGGTGGGGAGATTGATCGCGCGGCTCCCGGCTTGATCGCAGAGAGTGGCAAGCTACAGAGTCAGTTGCTCTCAGTCACTCGAACCGATAGGAAGTGCCCCGGAATAAATCGAAATTGACTTCAAGTTAACCTGAAATAATCTTTCGAAGGCAGTTGCTCTCAGCCACTCGAACCGAGAGGACGTGCCCCGGAATAAATCGTAATTAACTTCAAGTTAACCGGAAATAATCTTAACTCAACAGTTTTACCCAGAATTGACTCGAGTGAGTACTTATCCAAATAATCTGTTTGCGCGAATTAGAATTTACTTCTCGTGTAGTGCTCTAATCCTGATTTGACAAATTTCGTGTTTTCAAATGTTGTGGCTTTAGGAGATACGTTATTACAACGAAACTAATAGAGCCTGACATCCCGTTAATATTTCCGAAACCAGTTTAGGTCATCAATGTTTAGGTTTTAGGAGATACGTCGTTAGGACGATACTAATAAAACCAAGTATTTCGATAAGGTTCCGGTTTTCTTTGTTTTTCATTATCAATATAGAAGCAGTAGCTAACATATTTCACTACCCTGGTATTAAAAGATACGTTATCACAACGAGACTGTTATATACCAGGCAAGTCAAAATTAATTTACTACATGCGGCGTTTTTCGTTATTTTCACCGCGTTAATAAAGGTTCTGGTTTTAGGAGATACGTTATCACAACGAAACTAATAAAACCAAACATTCCGTTTCTCATTATTCCTGTATTTCCAGATTTGACTAATTCGTCATAGCTACTGCATGATAGTAAACTCAAAGCTTTCATTGTCGAGTTCAATTCTGGGTCTAGCGATATTTTGTTAGAGGTATTCCCGCGAGCAGTTAAACAAGTACCAGGCACTCCTCTAGGTTCGGTGTCCTGGACATCACCTGTGTCACCCAGCCAGCATCAATAATTCATTCGATTTAAGAATTTGGTTTATAGTAGATACGTTACTGCAACGAGACTGCTAGACGACCAGGTGTTTCTTCCACCCTGTGTTCTCAATGGAACAGTTAGTTTCTTCCATCCTGTATGACCAGACCTGCTTCGATAGTGATTCGATGTAAGAACTTAGATTATAGTAGATACGTTACCGCAACGAGACTACTAGACGACCAGTTAGTTATTTCGCCCTGGGTTAGCAATTGAACAGTCAGTTCCCCGCCTTGTGTTGCACAACCAGATTTTATACCGAACAGTTAGTTCCCCCCGCCTTGTGTTGCACAACCAGATTTGATACTGAACAGTCAGTTCCCCCGCCTTGTGTTGCACAACCAGATTTTATACTGAACAGTTACCCCCGCCTTGTGTTGCACAACCAGATTTTATACTGAACAGTTAGTTCCCCGCCTTGTGTTGCACAACTAGATCCGACCCTAAACAGTTAGTTTCTCCGCCTTGTGTTACACAACCCGATGCGCTAACTATTAGATTGTTGACCTGCTTCTTGGTAGATACGTTAATGCAACGAGACTACTTGAATCAAACTCCTGTCAAGACCCGATTTCTTGCTGGTAACCAGCATCCCGTTTCCCGCCCAAAAGTCTGCCATTTGACTCTTAGCTCATACGAGCCATCCGTTCTCCGTTCTGTATTGAACGAACATCTACACTTCACTGTTCATAGCTAGCAGTCCATTCGAGCGATCGTTCGGTCCTATTATAGCGAGAAATCCGCTTCTCGCTCCTTCGCACAAAGAAAACCAGTACTTCGAACGTTTCCTGAGATTTGGTAACGTGGACCAGTGACAGCGAGTGTTGTTGGATGGTGAGTTCCAGATACAGGAAGGCCTAAGAAGACACGGACAAGAAGAACCTGAAGAAGACTTGATTATTTTATTATTAATAAGTACGATTCAGATACTTCCTAGCTCTAAAGTAGAATTGTTCCTATAGGAAATATATTTTGCATCTTTTATATTACTCTGTCTTTTACTCTATTAACTGGCAGTGAGTTAAACCGGTGAGTTAAACCGAATCCTGGACGTACTCAACTGCGCCGAGCTATTCCCGCAGCGAAAAACGTCACAGACTTTTTAATTTAAATTTGTTCATTTCGACCCTTCTCATGTCATAAACTATTTATTTTGATATAAGATCAATACATTCTATTATATTCTATTCTATACATCACTAAAATTTGCAATTCACATAAAAATGGCGTATGTTCAATAGGCTCCATTTGTCACTTTTTCTATAAAAACCCGAATAGCTCAAAACTGTTCATTTTGGGAAGGTATAGGGTATGATACATGAATTTGAATCATAATCATAAGAGAAATTCAAAAGTGTTAGAAGATACACAATGTTCCATTGAAAATAACGAAGAATACCCGAAGCTTCACAGTAACGAAAATATCTCAATTAGATTCCATTTTTTTTCATCGTCCCTGCAAATTTACAGAATTGTGTTATTTTTCATAGAAAGATCGCGTTAACTCATGAAGATATACCCTGTATTATATCTAAAGGGGGCAAATTTCTTCCTGCTAATAAATAAAATGGGTGAGAAATTGAGTTATAGATCTTTCAGGAACAAAGGACATAGATACTTGTTCACCCCCGAAAATTTACCCAATGATTCAATAAGATTATCATCAGTTATATGAAAAACCCACATTTATCTCACTTCTCATGGAAGCACTTCTATATATATATATATATATTCATAATTATTGAGGAAGGATTCTGAACAAGGTATATCAATTATTCACTCAAATTATCTTCAGTGATATACACTGCCTGCCAGCATCCACGTTGGAATCATCCACGTGAATATCACTGATGATACCATGCGGTCATTAAGTGTAACGTCCATAGCTTTCTCGCTCCTGCTAATTCTTGAATCCAATAAATATGAGACAAAAGGGAATTTTACAGAACTTAAAATTTCATATTATCCAATCTTGCCTCCTGATATAATTTTCCAGACATATCAGATATTCCACAGCTTTTTTCCATACTTATTCCAACAAAAAGTTGATATTGGATTCGAAATATACGTGAATCCCCTCTACCATGTTTTTCACCTAGAGCTTTTCTTTACAGAAAGGGAAACAGGCCATCTAGGGATAGTTTGACAAAACGTGCTACTTCTGAGCCGAACATTTCAGGATTGATCGAAGAAAAAAACACAGTTGAGAGTGAAACAAAACATGTTCTACCTGGAGGTAGGAAGAAGTTCAAAGAATTACGACAGCGACTCCAAAACGATGAAGAAGATTACCAAGTAGGTATTTTAACATTACTTGGTGTTTTGATATATTTATTTTCTGTTGAACTCATAATGAAGCAATAATATAATCGCCTCCGAAGATTTTTTCCATCTCTTGGAGCACAGAAAAGGAGATTCCTATAATGAAGATTATCATCAGAATCGGCCGATGAAAATTCAAGCATTATTTTCTCAAATTCCATTAGCCATCTTTCCAAACTTGACAGTGGTTTTCATTGTTCCGAAATTTGTACCTGGAATCGGAAATACCTACTTAATTCATTATTTTATTTATCGGATCAAAACAACTTCTTTCCTGGCTATGCAATGTGAATAATTGAATTACATCCTCCCGAACACCAGTCATGCCATAAGCCTCTTCGTTTTGGTCATTCAGTAAAGCAGACGAAAGGAATTCTTCAAATAGTTTATTTCCACTACTCTCCAATCGCAAAAGAGAGCAAACATTTTTGCAGAGATCTTTGCAGCAGAGTCCACCTTGGATTCCCATGGAAGAGTGCCGCCATGAAAGTCGAATGCCCGAAATCGCCTTTCTTCAACGCACCATCAGGCGCATTCTGCTCGGTATCAAAACTAATAAGGCTTACGGTCCCGAGGGGTAAATCACTGAGCAAATTCGTGTACACCGGACTGCCATCCATACTCGGACTGCCAAGACTGCCACCGGACTGCCACGGACTGCCACCGGACTGCCACGGACTGCCACGGACTGCCACCGGACTGCCACGGACTGCCACGGACTGCCACCGGACTGCCACGGACTGCCACGGACTGCCACCGGACTGCCACGGACTGCCACCGAAATGTAATGGACTATCACTCAATTATGTGTTCCAATAAAAATAAAGCTGTTTTTTGGAAATTTCAATTCACCACAAGAACAAAGTTCACGAAAACCGTTCTGACTGAATAAGTACTAGAAAGGCATCCCCGATGGTGATTAACATAGAAGAAATAAATCATCAACCGTGACCTACGATGTGAAGATCTCATTGGAAACCTATGGCATAAGAAACTGATCCGGAAACTATAACATTCCTGTATATAACATAACATATCTCGTTAAATCTACATGAAATGAAGATATTTTTTGAGGTGCAATAGGTGAAGTGGAAATACACGTAAATAGTACAGAAATCCGATGTTTTTATTTTTCTGTCGATTCGCCTGAAAATGTTCAGCACAAAATTTTCGAGGTTGAACAATACGAATTTTGAGTGAAAATTTTAAAATTGATATACTTATTTCGTTCATTCCGTTTGGAAGGTCAAATCAGGATTTGTCTTGGTTCGTTAATATCCCGATAAATACGAATTTTGAATTGTATTTGAGGATTTCAGATTCGCCCCAAAATGCCCCAAATGAAAACTATGGGTGTTTAAAGTTTGAGATATCAGAATTCCGAGTTGAATATTCAAATTCAAACGATTTTGTCATTTCCTTATCAATTTGTCAAAAAATCGTGGTTGAAAAATACGCATTTTGAGTCGCATTTGAGAATTCAAGATGGCGTCCCATAAGATGGCGGACGATTTCAATTTCAATGCATTTTCACATCAGGGTGTCCCATGAGAAAAAGTATAACTTTGATACGCCACTCATTTCAGAATCGCCCTGTATAACGCAAAATATTTTATAAATGTACACCATCTCAAAATTTCTTGTTTATCGATCTCAATCAGCAAAGCCGTTATCTCACTCTCCCACAGTATTGGTTCACCCTGTTCACCTATGATTCGTAACGCACTACCCAAAAAAACCCTCGTTGTACATTTTCAGAAAATTTGACCTTTATCGTAAATTCGTGATTCTTATACTTGAAAATTATTGTCAAGAGTATACAGTGTGACCACAAATATTCTTTCCTGATGTAATTGGGTAAGCTTTTATAACACGTGAAAAATATCGTTGACAATTAATTTATACGGTTTTTCAAATTTTGAAAACATTCCAGAAATACTTGAGTTACAGGTCGATACATATATGGTGAATCAGATATGTACAAGGATTAAGGCAGGTATAGATAAACAAATTCTTAAACAGGTACTGCTCCGAGATCTATTTACTTATTGAAATTTTGTGAATTCTTATTGGTTAAATACAGTATAAATACAAAATTGGTAATGAAAAGTAGTATCCTCTCTTATGCAGAAAGAATATTCTCCTTCTTCATATATATTATCTATATATTAGGTCGAGCTAGGTTAGATTGTTTAGAAAAATTAGTCTCCCTTCTTATGCAGAAAGAATATTTTTCTTCCTCATATTATATATCATGCCGAGTTAGGTTAGGTTGTTTGCAAAAAAAGTCTCCTTCCTTTTTCGGAAATGATTATATTTTATGTCCTGGAATGAGTTCAAAACATATGAAACTTTATTAAACTACCGTTTTATATGTTCCCTACTTTGCGCGCAATTACAGTATAACCTTTTTGGGCCGTGCGTGCAATTGCACTATGGGATAAGGACGAGGATTAGGACCGAGATTTGGACACACTGTTGAGAATACTGACCGCTGCGCGCAATCGCAGTCCATAATACACAAAATTTGCGTGGGTTTCAACTCTGGAGCTTGAGATCCCCAAGGTGAACTTTTTTTATTCAGGCGATTCGGACAATAAATGACAAAGTTTTCCGTCCCATTGTAGACGCCATCTAGAATTTCAAAACTAACTCGAAAATCATGATTATATACTCCAAGAATATCTGATTTCTTTTCCCCATTATAGGAATTACCTTTCGTGCGCTCCAAGAGATGAAAAAAACTGACGCCTCCCTACAGAAGCCATCTTGTTTTTCAAAATTTGGACTCGGAATTCGAAATTGCCAATCTCGAGAACCCCTACTTGTACATTTTCAGGTTAATCAGAGAATAAATAACAAAGTCGCCGCCACCTTGCGAACGCCCTCTTGAATTTTCAAATTTAGAATAATTGTCGGATAACGAGAGAAGAGACGAGAGACCACCAGACTACCACCGGACTACCACCGGACTGCCACCGGACTGCCAAGGACTGCCACCGGACTGCCACGGACTGCCACCGGACTGCCACCGGACTGCCACGGACTGCCACCGGACTGCCACGGACTGCCACCGGACTGCCACCGGACTGCCACGGACTGCCACCGGACTGCCACGGACTGCCACCGGACTGCCACGGACTGCCACCGGACTGCCAAAAGAATGTACACCGGACTGCCCCAGTGATTTACCCCTCGTACGGTCCTGATGGAATTCCACCCATTATTCTCAAAAAGTGTGCACCAGAGATGACACTGATTCTGTGCAAGCTATTCAGCATCTAATACTAGTCAGGTCATTTTCCACCTAGCTGCAAAATCGCTAGAGTCTAAACATTCCCAAAAAAAAGAAGCAAAGGCCTGCCCAACAACTATAGGTCAATTGCTCTAACATCAGTCATCTTCGAAGTGATGAAGAAAGCCATCAACATTGAGCTCATCAAATTCCTGGATAGCTCAGAATTCATCAATGATAGGCTATATGGCTTTTGCCACCGAAGATCAACTGGAGATTTACTTGCCTACATCACCCATATATGGCAAGCTTCATTAGAAAAACATAAGGAAACTCTAGCAGTGGTGTTGGACATATCAAAGGCATTCGACAGTTTTTGACACCAAAGACTTCTCCACAAACTACCATCATCAGAATCAGAAATCGGAAATGATTTATTTATGCTGCTAAAACCACAGGCTTTTGGCCCAAATTCAGAATAACAGTTTCATCCCATACAGTACACACTTATAATCATTAATGGAAAGATTGAAATTACTTCCAAAACTACCTAAATTAAAAACAATCCAGAAAGATTTACAACACAATCCACTAACATGGACACGTTGAACATTTTGAATAATTCTGAACAGTGTATTTTATTCTGCCACTACTAGAATTGAAAATGGTATCCCAACAGTTAATATGATCATTTACAGCTTTCTGGCATCTTACGCATCTTACAAAAGGTAATCTTATTTCAGGTACATGCAGTTCTATTGCAAAGAGTAAATCAGGTACATTTAGCTTATCATGAACTATGTCTGATAGAAACAGCATATCCGCGAAATTTCTCCGTAGCTGTCGAGGTAGCTGTAGTGTGTTTTGATCAAATTTTCATAGTTGACTGAAGCATATTTTAATTTTGGTCTTACATAGGCATCGCATAAAAGTATTGTGATGATGGACTTTGATTCGTACGAATTCATTAGAACAAAACTTAAATTTCCCAGGCTATCATTTACAATCTTTGCAATGTGGGTATGGAAGCTCAATTTTCCATCAAAAACTATTCCTAGGTCCTCAAATTTCTCAACTATTTCCAATTTAGTTTTATTCGCCCAGTCCTCTGTCTCAATGGAATTTTTTCTACAGCTGAATGATGTATATTTACATCTGTCCTCATCTGATGAAATGTCGTTCAGCTCACAGAAACTGATGAACCTATAGGCAAGGTGATCGACCATTGAGGGCGCTGGTACAAAAACAAGATGGCCGCCCTATCAGGGCACTTTGTTTACATATTTTATGTGTTTTCCAAGCACTTCGAAACATGCTTGATGATGTCTCGCCTCATTCCTGGCCAGAAGTAGCGTCTTGCAAAACGATGTATACTTCTATCAATACCATAATGGCATGCCATTGGGGCGTCATGGTATGATTGTAAAATTAGACGTTGTAGAGCGACCTTTCATAAAACCATGTTGATGAATAGAAAGGCTTTTCTCAACTTGGAAGTAGATATTTTTTTGTAATAGGATTTCAAATACCTTACAGAAATTACAGATAATAGTGATAGGTCTGAAATTAGTAACATCAAGTCGATTATCTTTTTTGTATATAGGACAGACTTTGGAAATCTTCCAACTAGAAGGCATAGTTTCAGTTCTCATACAAATATTTATTAATGTTGTTAAAGGAGCAGCAAGTACCGTGGCACAATCTTTAACTAAAAATGCTGGGATATATATGATCGGGACTGGTAGTCATTTTAGGTTTAATTTGCTTCATTGCACTGAGAACATCTCTTTCATTGAATACTTGTATATTAATAGGATTAGATTGCATAAAATCATTATCGATTGCTTGTACAGTAGAAATTGGTGAAAAAGAGTTTCCAAAGAAATTAGCAAAAGCATTTACTATATCTGTTGGTGTGTCGAGACTTGTTCCGTTATATACCATATTATCAACAGATGGGGCCCATATTAAATGGTTCATTTTCGGTGCATACCCATAGCTAACATAGCTAATACATTTTCGAAGTATTTCCAGCTCATTGAATAAATTCATTATATGAATGGTGATGTTATTTTGCCAAAAATATTCTATTCTATAATGAGTTCGCGAATGACATTGTCGAGCCGAAGGCGAGAAGTTTTGGAACAATGTCATGAGCGAAATCAGAGCAGCAAGCTGAAGTATGTCAATTGAAGGATATTTCCAGGAGAAAATATTATCACGAGTTGTATTTGTATGACGATTTCATGATTGAATTAGACAATAAACGAGCGCCTCGCGAGACTTGCACATATTGAATCCATCATATAATTGACGTTATGAATGTCAAAAATGTTTACTGAGAAACGATTGGTAGAGCAAGTCCGATAATTTTCAGCAAACAAAAAATATCACTGTAATACACAGCAAAAACCGTGATCATGGTCGATTCTGATTGGTTCTGGAGAACAAAAGTGGAATAGTCATTATTATTTTTCAATAAGATTCATTTTCCATATTTGTTGTAGGCCAGCAATATCTCTCCTCCGGGCAGCCATACTTCCTCAGTGGATGGAGTGTTTGCAGCGTCCAGCAGACAATCTCATCCCTTCAGGATCATCGAGCACGATACCATAAGCCTGCAAAGCCTCAATTCCTTAGGGCGGATCGGTCGGATATTGGGTGGCGTAGCAGATACTGGTGAGTTGGTAGAGTATGAAAAAATTATTTACCTAACAAGTGCGGAAAGCGGTGCTTTTTCGCACGCGATGGCAGTTGCATGAACAACTCTGAGCGGAGTTTGGGCAAGCAGTCGAGAGTGGAAAATACATTTTCTGCAAGAGTTATGTACAATGATTTTCCCAAGAGTGTTTTTGTCCATATTATTTGTATAAAAAAGTTTTAATAAACAAGATTTCATAATAATGCTACAAAATGACACATAAGACAGATTAGTTACATGGATTAAGTAAGTCCTAAATATCATGTCTTGCAACAATACAAAAAACGTGCGGAAAAGTAACTTTTTCCACGACTACTATTGTAAGTGTTGAATATTGTACACAAAACAATGTTAGGTAGCTCCTCCTCAAGCAAGTGTGGGTAAAGGGAGCAATCGCACAGTTTTCATAAATATGTTGATAGATGGCATTGTTTTGTTACTAAGGAGATGGGTTAATTTTTTTTTATCGCTTGGAGCGTACGAAAGGAAATCCCTATAATGTTCAAAGAACATCGTGCGTTCCTAGGGAGGATAGGGACAGGAGGTAGGTATTGGAATATTTTTTGAACTTCTGGAGATTATATGTTGTTGGGAATACTTCCTCAGGCAATGAATTCCAGAGCCTAGCCGTTCTATGGATGAAGGAGTTTTGATCAAGTGCTGCTCGACATCTTTCGAGGTTGACAACGAAAGGATGTGCTGACTGGGCTTGTCTAGTTCGTCTGACTGGTATTGCTAATGAAGGGATGATAGCAGAGATTTCCGAAGAACATTGCCAGTTAATGTCAGTAGTTAACCTGTCTTTTCATAAATAAATCAAGTAATATTTTTCGAAAATGATTATTTGCCTTCGATATTTCAAAATTTCAGTTGTAAAAAGTGAAGCGATGACGATGAGATTATTTTTCACCACCAAATATTTTGGAAACAGCAAAAATGGCAACTGAGTTGCTACCCGTGAAGTCTCGGGAAAGATCCGAAATCGCTTACAAAAAATTCATGGACTGGAAACTCGGGAATCATTTTCGGAAAATACTATATTCCAACAACTGCACAGTGACAATGAATAACTATTATACATGTTGATTTTGTGTGACATCAAATATGTTATTTTGTTGTGAGGATATGAAAAATGGCTTCATTTCGATCTTTTGAAGGAGTTCATGGTAACTCAAAGTGCGGTGGTGTATTTCATAGATGAAGAAACTCAAAGTCATCTCCACAACATTTATTTGACGGCTTCATTTCAGTTTAAATTGAGGAAAATAGCTCTTTATGCAGACGAAAATAACAAAATTGGGAAATGAAACCTGTATACAATTTACACATCAGTAGGTACCTTTTCACAGGTGTATTCTCATTTAGAAATAATAACTGTGAATAAATACCTAAGTTCCGGCGTTTCATCAATGTATTATGAATGAGTTTGGTTCATCCACAATGACTAGCTTTATGCAATTTTCAGAGTGGATCATTCTGAATATCATTTTTATGACATAAACTGCTATGTAAATAATCACATTTTCACTGTAAGCAGTAAGCATCATGAGCCATTGTCATAATTATGTTCCTAAATTCTTGTGAGAAATCGCTGAATATCTTGATCATTTCTTCTCAGTTCATATAAATCAACTCGATCACTGGACAGAAAGTATAGATTGTTATTTCCTAAACTCTGCAATTTCCTCCACTTCCAGCAATATAAGGATGTAAGTAGGACCAATTTCTTCATTTTCTTTTTTAATTTTGGTTAGAGTTTGAATTTTGTCCCATGAGAACTAATAATTCCTTGAGTTTCAGTATTTGTAATTTTTTTATAATCTTCGAGAAAAAACCTCATTGCTGTCAATGCTGTCATTGCTGTCTACACCGGTGTGGATCGGGTCTACACCGGTGTGGCTTCGGTCTCTGTCATGCTTCGAATTCATTGAAAAATATGATGTCCAAAACGTATCACAATTTCCATTCTTCGGCAAGACAAACTTATTCATTTACCGAATAATAAGTTAGTTTAATCTATAAATAGATGAAATACATATAAGAGGTTGGGTATATTGAAAACAATTAAATTTTTGGAATTGGTATTCGTATTCTGTGTTTCGAATTTTATATTAATTGTCGTAGGAAAAATACTGTACTCGTTAAAAAGTGTATTTCATGCACTCGTTACAGTTCCGCACTCACCGCTACGCGGCGTCATGGTGAATATCACTCGTGCGAAATTTGTCACTTTTCACACTAGTAATGTAATATACTATTTTTTACGACCACCTATGGAAGCAGCATATAGTACACTGTGTTGTTGCTCAGAAAGTATCTCATATCACCATAGCAGTGCTGCTGAAGAGAAAAAGATGATTGTCTAATCCATGCACTCGTTACATTTCCTACCTTATTTCTCTTGGTTCTCACGATGTTCTCCTTTTCGTGGGAACCAGAACCAAAAAAAATATAGATGAAGAAACCCAAAGTCATCTCCACAACATATATTTGACGATCAGAGATCGATCACATAGAGGTACATGTTTCGGGCTTATACAAGCCCATGATCAGCCGAATACAAGAATTAGTTATGGAATTGAAAGAGTTGAACTTCTGATAATTTAGACAATGAAATGGCATAAGACAAAGACGTATGCACCATGATTAGGTATAATGAAATTTCTTGTTTCTTATAAGAACATTAAAATTTTTATTTATTCATGAAAAGGGTCGGGTTATCAAATTTATAAGGGCCCACGTGCCCTCAAATTGCCAAATGAGTTTATCATTTTACAGGTCAACTTTGAGACCCCCATCAAACTTTGTTCGATTTGTTAAATGTGTGATTGTCACCTTTGGCAATTTAAGGGCACGTGGGCCCTTATATAATTGATAACCCGACCCTTTTCATGGAGATTAAAATTCAATGTTTTAATAGGAAACAAAAAATGTTATTATACCTACTCATGGTGCATACGTCTTTTTCTTGTGGCATTTTAATGTCTGAATTATCAAGAGTTCAACTTTTTTATTTCCCTAACAAGTTCTTGTATTCGGCTGATGATGGACTTATATGAGCCCGAAACATGTACCTTTATGTGATCGATCTCTGATCGTCAAATAAATGTTGTGGAGATAACTTTCGATTTCATCATCTATGAAATATACTACTCCACTTTGAGTTACCATGGACTTCTTCCGAAGATTGAAAAAATATACACACACTGGCACAATTAGGGGAACGGGTAAAATTTACACTAAGTTTGACATCAATTTTCTCTCGAACCGATCACTCGATTCAAATTTGTTTTTCACGAATTGTAGCTTCATTCTTTACGAATACATCTGAGAAATAACCACCTCCAAACGATTCGTCTTTATATCATATACAGGGGTGTAAAGAAAGTACGCATTTTTCGGTATTCTTTAAGACATCCTGTGGAGTGAACCACTGATAATTGAAACGATTTTCCAACACCAAATTATAGCCCAATCCATCCCGAATATTTTCGTTTTTTATTCATCTTGATATCCCAATTATCCCAGAAAATATAGAGTTTCAAAGGATATTGGTATTAATTTTACCACCTCGAAACTCGAACTGGGGAGAACGTGTCGTTTTTCAACTTGTTTCTGTGAGGATTTTTACTTCAAGATGAGAATTGTTCACAGTTTTACCTATCGGTTTACTGTTTAAAGACACATATACGAATACTCTCATGAATATGCAGGGGTGATAAAAGTTGCTCCAATGTTCTTTTGGTGAAATGCTATTTTTGTTAATCAACGTTGGCTATTTTGTTAATGTAATTAATTATTGTCAAAGTCAAGCGATTTACAATTCATGAATTTGATTAATGAAAATTCAACATGAGAGATTTGACTCCTACTGATGTGGTGAAGGCTGTAGCATTAATTGAAAATGACCAGTGGGCCAATGTTCTTTTAACATATGAGAGCAGCATCTGCACCAATTTAATATATGGCAGGGAAAGTCTATATATCGCCGAGGTGAACAAAATGAACAATTTGATTTTACTGCTTCTGTCTCCTATGGTAGAGGTTTAGTCATGGTTAGGTTAGGTTAGTCAAGAAACGACACATTTTCAGATCCAATTTGAGTTTTGAGGTGTAAAATTGATACCAATATCCACCTTTCCTTTGAAACTCTGTATTCTCTTGAATGATTGAGATATCAAGATGAATAAAAAACGAAAATATTCGAAATAGATTGGGCTCCAATTTGGTGTTGAGACATCGTTTCAATTATCAGTGGTTCAGTCCACGGATGTCTAAAAAAATACCGAAAGTATATGTACAGCAAGAGCACGGGACCAATTTGGACAGTTTTCCCATGTTAATTCCCATAAGAAAATTTAAGGTCAAAAATAGCAAAAATGGCTCTTTTTTTCATATACAGCCAGAGCATGGAGGCTCAATTCAGTTTCCCCATCTCAATCTTCATAAGAAAATCTAAGGTCGAAAAAATAGCAAAAATGGCTCTTTTTTCAAGGTCACCGCAGTTGACCATGTTGGTAGGAGTACAGAACGGGTGAACATTCATAGGGAGGGAAGACAGGTTGGAAAAATAATGAGTACTGATACATGATAATATTTATTATTCGTTAGTGTAAATATATATATAAACAAAATAATTCTAGAGATATCACCATCAATTTATGAGCCATATTCCACAACATCATCATCGATTGAATAGTGTCCCCATGGTAACGTTTCATCAGTTCCAGGAATTATATATCTCTTATCATCATTCGGACTGAGAGCAATCTTCTTTTGTATGATAGAATAAACTTGATGTTTATCTGATTTGATCAAATTCTGAGTGACAGTTTTTTCCTTCCAATTATCCAAACACTCAACATAATCAGTGAAGGTTATTGATGTCTTCACAACAGACGACTTCACACCCTTAGCCTTTTTCGTTATACCAAAATTCCTCAGAATATCATCAATTTCAAAATCATCATATCCTTCA